TCCCTAGGAACCCTGCCTCCCAAGAATCGGCACTAAGGTAAAATACCTGATGAGGCCCACCTGTGAAAGCCTTGGGAGGGAGAAGATTAGCACCTCCTCTGGAGGCTGACCAGAAACAGGAAATACTTGACCTTACTCCCTCCCTTTTTAATGTAAAAGACTCCTGAGCTCTTCCTCTGGCAAGATGGTACTTTTAGTACATGAGTCTACAGTCTTCTTGATTCGCTGGCTTTCCAGATAGTCTCTATTCCTAGCCCTAACAACTGTCTCTGGATTTATTGTCCTGTCCTGAGCAGAATGGTACAGGCTTGGACTGGTAACTCAAGTGCTGTTTTCCGACAGGACTGCCTGCGGTCTGCAGGTTGGAACACCAGGAGAGAGCTCTGACTTCCTGCTGCTCCAGGCTTCTTCTCACTGTCTACTCAGAGAGGGGCTTCTCCCCACCTTCCACACTCACGTTTGCCTTGACCTGGCTCAAGGGCTTCAGCTTTGCATTGGTCTTATGTTTGGGGGTTGTCATTAGTTCCTATATTTAATTTTTTTAAACACTTATCTTTTCCTTTAATCTCTTCTTTTTTAATCTTTTTTTTATCTTTCTAAGATTCCTCAGAGTTTGTCATTTTATGTATGGAACCATTTACTTTCCCTCACTGTTGTAGATTTGCTTCTTAAAAGTCAGTTTCAGTATTTCCTGGAGATTTAGATGGGAGAGGGAAATTGTCTAAGGGAATTGTCTTTATCTAAGCACCTAAACCTTTTATCAAAAAGGATCACCTAAAAACCATTCCTTGAGTTAAACAAGGGGAAATGATGAAATCAGAGTCTTGATCTTTTTCAGACTGAAAAATGGGACCACGCTGTTTCCATTTCCTGGGGAGGTGCTGGGTGTATGGTAGCTGTTCAGTTGAACCTAGTCTTAGTTTCAGAATCCAGGTTTACACAAAATGTAAGTAAGGAGATAAGTGATTTCTTCTGTGAAAGGGATCTTAACCATAACTAGTGTGTCTCTTGCATTTCAAGGTCTGTTTGCGTATAGTTTTAGGGGCTGTCAAAGTATAGTGGATGCCAGTTAACCACACATTCTGACAAAGTTACCTGTCTCAGCTTTCCTTAGTCCAAAACAGACTCAGAATCGCTGAGATAAAACCATAGTAATTCACTGTTCTCAGAGAACCTAGAGAATAAAATTATTAATGGAAGATTATTTAAATTTTCTCGGGTGAGATTACAGTATTACTTTAGAACACATGTGTGTGTTTACATCCAAAGAGTACTACCTGTCAATGTAAAGATATGACTGTAAGAATGTTTATAGCAGTAAACTTGGAAACAGTCTAAATATTGATGCTGAAAACTCAGCCTCTCTGCATCGATCAGAATAAAATCTCAGAGACAGAGTTTTGGCTGAAATAGAAAAGAATAGCTTTATTACTTTGCCAGGCAAAGGGAGACACAGCCGGCCTGTGCCCTGAAAAGCTGTGTGTCCCAACCTGGGATGATTTGTTGAAAAGTTTTACAGCAGGTTCAAGGGCAGAGTTGCTAATTAGGAGCTGGGTATGCCCATGCCTTTAGTCTGGCCTGGGGCTGGGTGAGGTGGGGGCCAGTCTCCTCCCTTGTCTCGGAATCTCCTCCCATCCCTGATGAGCAACTGTTTGAATTTGCCCTTTCAAGGTCATGGAGACTGGAGTCTATTCTTAGAAACAAGAAATGGGGACTTAGAAAGACTTCCATGCCCAGGAACTCCCAGGGTCCTGCTTAGTTTCAATATCTAATAGTACAGAATAGGTTAAACAATATATTAGAACATTATGTAGACATTTAAAACTCTTGTAAAATAACATTTACTGATTTGGAAAAATAATTTTTTTTCCTTGATGAGAAAGAATTATTTTTGGAATAAGTTTTTTAAAAGTTACTTGAAATAGCAAAAAATTCAAATTTGTGATAAAGATTTGGGGAATGATTCTTGTTTTAATTAAGTACAACAAGAATCTGCCATTTTATCTAATGCAACTATTGTAGAGGAGGAAGCTTTCCTTGATGCTCTTGCTCTTAGGGTTGGGTCTGAAAATTAAACCAACTAAAGATTAATAGGAGAAAAGTACACAAATTTAATGTGAGTTTTACATATCAGGGAGATCTTCTAAAGGAAATGAAGATCCAAAGAAGTGGACCTGATTATTTTACACTGGGCTTGATGAAAGTTGTGATGACAGTTGTGGAGGAATGTGGTGGGTTAAGAAGTACAAAGCATGTCTTAGTGATATTGCCGGCTGAGTGCCAGCGTGCATGCCTGCTCATTCGCTTCAGTCCTGTCCTTTGCGACCCCACGGATGTAGCCAGCCAGGCTCCTCTGTCCTTGGGATTCTCCAGGCAAGAATGCTGGAGTGGGTTGCCATGCCCTTCTCCAGGGGATCTTCCCGACCCAGGGATCCAACCCAGGTTTGCACACGAAGGCAGATTCTGTACTGTTTGAGCCCCAGGGAAGATCTGTGCAGCAGTGAAGCATGTCACATGAATTATTGGGTTTCCCGGGATGTATTCAAGTTAGGTTTACATGATACTGTGGTTTATTAAGTGTGCAGTCGCATTATGTCTGAAAACCAGTGTATGCACTCTAATTAAAAATACTTTATTGCTAAAAAACACTAACCATCAGCTGAGCTTCCAGTGAGTTGCAGTCTTGTTGCTGGTAGCGGACTTGAAATATTGGGAGAATTATCGGTATGTAACAGAGAAACATGAAGTGAGCAAATGCTATTGGAAAAGTGATATCAGTAGTCTTGCTCTATCTATGCAGAGTTGCCACAGACCTTCAATTTGTAAAGAAAAAAGAAAAAGAAAAGCAGTATCAGTGAAGCACAATAAAGTGAAGCATGCTTGTAGTTGTAGTAAGTGGTAGGGGCAGGGGACAATGATAACTTAGCAAGCGTGTCTTCTTAGGTTCTTTCACTATCCCTGTGTCTTCTGAGATTCAGATGCTCCTTTCCTCTTGGTGTAGGGTGGGCACCTCTTAATGAGGTCTTATGATCTATTTTCTGTTTTAAGAAAGAAAGATAAGGAGGGAGAAGGTCAGAGTAACCTTCTTGTTTCTGCTGTTTTCTCATATTCCTTCAATTTAAAATATTCAAGATGCCAAGGTGCCACATTTAGGGGCAGCATGTCCTCAACCCACCAGTTGCCATGGCTAACCTGTTTTGGAATTTGTTAATGATGATTCAGTTCTCATTAATATTACAAATACTACCTTTGACTTCCCTGGTGGTTCAAATGGTAAAGAATCTGCCTGCAATGTAGGAAACCTGGGTTCGATCTCGGGGTCGGGAAAACCCCTGGAGAAGGGCATGGCAACCCACTCCAGTATTCTTGCCTGGAGAATTCCATGGACAGAGGAGCCTGGCGGACTACAGTCCATGGGGTTGCAAAGAGTCAGACACACGACTCAGAGAATTTCACTTTCACTTTTCACCTTTAGTTATTTGATACCTCATTGGTGGAGGAAATTTGTCAAAAATTTTAACAAATGTCAAGAACATAATTATGGGGACAATGATTTGAACACTTCTAGCCAAAAAATTATTTTAATCAAATTCACTTTGTTTTCTATAAAAAGACAGTGTCTGAAAAAAATGACTTAACACTTTAGTACTACAAATTTAGATAGGCTCCAACTTGAATATATATTTTAAATGCTTGCTTAATAATGCTAAAATATGTTGAACAATTATGGTATTATGTGGGAAGGGCTTTACCTGCATTATCTCACTTAATCTAACAACACTTTTAACAAGATGGGTATTTTTAACATCCCCATTTACCATGTGAGAGATAAGACTTAGGCAGATTGTGATCACAGAAGTAAATTCAGTTTGTTGATTCCATAGCCATGAAGGACCCAAGCTACTTCTGTCTGCTGAGCTCTCCTTAGTGTTTGGCTCTGATTCTCAGGGTCATTCCTGGTCCAGTATGGTTGTTCGAAGTTTGTCTGTCAGGGCCAAGCAGGAAGGGCAAATAGACTCTATACCAGTTTTTGTTGCCTTTAAAATGCCTTTCTGAAAATTCCACCTCACAACTTACCTGTGTTTTATTGGCTGGAACTTAAGCCTATAGCAACAACTTGCTACAAGAAAAGCTACAACATTGCTGCTCAGAATAAAATCAGGCTTCTCTTATTTAGGAAGAACGGGAATATTTGGTTTTGAAAAGCAGCTAGCCGTCTCTGTCTATCATAAGGCTGTAGGAGACATCTCATCCAGACTTCTCAGTTTAAACTGTGAAAGCCCTGTCAATACAGCTGGCAGTGGCAGGATTGTAGGTCTTCTCTTGCTGACCTGTTTTAACTAGAGGACTTGGCAATTGCTGCTTCTTGTTCAGTTGCTAAGTCAAGTTGTGTCCAACTCTTTCCAGCCCCATGGACTGCAGCATGCCCGGCTTCCCAGTTCTTTACTATCTCCCGGATTTTGCTCAAACCCATGCCCACAGTTGCTTCTACTAGTGATAGATTGCTTCCCCGGTGGCTCAGACAGTAAAGAATCCACCTGCAATACGGGAGACTGGATTTGATCCTTGCATTGGGAAGATTCCCCGGAAGAGGGCATGGCAACCTGCTCTAGTACTCTTGCCTGGAGAATCCCCACGGGGTCACAAAGAGTCAGACAGACTGAGTGACTAAGCACAGTGCACAGCACAGTGATAAATTAGATAAAGCGATAGTAATCAATGTAGCACTAATACAAGAGTTTTTCTTTGCCTCTTTACTTCACCAGCTTAACTCCATCTCTTAGCAAGCCCCTGACAATATCTCAGAATAGTATTGCCTGCTTATTTGATAATCTTTTCTATGGTCATTTCCCCGTCAAGATAGAAGTTATATTGGCTCTCTAGATTCTGTGATTAAAATGAAGTAGTTTTAGTAGACTCTACAAATTTTAATGTTTGCTTTTAACATTAATGGTTTTTATAACTTTGGATAAATTTTTTTCTCAATTTTTTTCCTACAGTATAGCTGAAATACAGAAAGATGTGGAATACAGGTTGCCTTTCACCGTAAATAACCTGACAATTAACATTAATATGTGAGTAGAATTGTATCCTATTTTTTCATATAATAGGACTTTGAAAAATCTTTTTTATCATTTTGTTTCTTAGCTACTGTCAGAAGTAAACTGTTTAAAAGTGAATTTATTTCCTTTTCTAGTATCTAAAGTTTATTAAACTTACATAATTCTGTGAAATAAAAAGGTTTAAATATGTCATTGTAATAGAGATTGTGGTAAGAAACTATGAAAGAGGAAATGGAATACAAAGATGTAATTGTTTTTATTGATTTGCACTAAACTCTTAGCTGGAGGCAGGCTGAAAGAGTGAGCATGACAACAACAGTGGAAGGGATCGTGTGCAGAAACCGTTAGAGGAACAATCACCTTTATATCAGAAACAAGTTAAAATATTCTAGTTTTCAGCAACCAATATAATACATCAACCAGCAAGTTCAGAGTTGAATTTGATCTACCGATTATTTTTAAAGAAAAAACAATTAGAAGTAAAAAATATAATCATGACGTTATTAAGTAATAAAGAGGAAAGTTTGGGGAAAGTGATTGCTAGTACTCATTTAGCCATAGGGCATTTATTAGATTTCAACATGAAAGAATTATTATTACCTCGGATTGCATTAGGTGGCTGGCTGCTCAAGTGAGTGTTTTAGTGAGGTACAGTAAAAATGCACTTAACTTGAAGATGGAAACTATGCTTGTTCATTGTCAGATCCTCATTGCCTAGCGAGGTACCTTCACGTGGGATCCCATATTAAATCCTAGTTGAATGAGTGGAAATTAAAGCGTGAATATATAGCAGTGCCAACCATTATGCTGTGTTATCTCGATATATGGGAGCTTTATGAATTGTCACAGCAGCCCTGAAAACTAAAACAAATTATACACAAGTAGGTAATGAATACAGTAGTCAGGAGAGAAACCCAGACTGTTTGGGCTCCAAAGGCCATTCATTGCCTCTTTTCCAAAGTAGTTTAAGAGTGTAATCTATATACCTGAAGTAGTTTTTTCTCTCATCACATGCCCTGGTACAGCTAAGTAGGAGAAGTCAACAAAGACCTAGTTTCCCTCTTAACAATGCTGCCAACAAATAGTTCCCTGAGCCAGGAGGGGTACAGAGTGGCAGTTTAAAAGGATATATTCATCTAGATTTTAGAGAGTTGGAAGGTTCCATTGTGCAGTAAAAGTGCATTGTTAGATTTCACTCCCTAATTTCAAATTTGCAGTAGTTCTGTCTGAAAGGGTTAAGATTTTTACTCTTTTTCCTTTTGGTATTGCGAACTTAGTTACCTGAAACTGTTGGACTGACCTCAAAGTTGGGAGAGATGTGTTAATTGAGACATTTTGAAGAGAGCAGCATAGCACCAAGTCATGGTGTCAGCTCCAGTATCCGAGCCCTAGTGCATCTCATTTTATCTATTTGCTCATTATGAATTCAGTGTATAGTGAAATACTTCTTGGCAGTATTTCAAAAGAAGGAAAGCCACCAGAAAATTATATGCCCAGACCTGTGGTTCAGTAAAAAGCCAGACTGGCATAAAATGGTTCACCTGATAAAAATGTCTAATTTTTAGCTGAAATTTTGGATAGTTTGGTATAATGTGATATGTTTGAAAGCAATTAATTGGCCCAGTTTGAAGAATAGTCTGTAATTCACATTATCCTTACTCCATATTAAGAAGGTTTTACTATATTGAATTAATTATAGTCTTGTTGACAAAGTGTGTCTTTCTGTATAGGTTCACTCAACTCAACAACCATAATAGAGCACTGATTACTGAATAATTAATCTAAATGAAAGTATGAAAATATAATTTGCTTTTAAGTAACTTTGTTTTAGAGTTATGATTATATAACATTTGTTGTCTTTGTTTTTGTTTTCGAATCTGTTCTACTTTTGCCAGATTGCTTCCTCCACAATTTCCTCAGGAAAAACCAGTGATCAGTGTTTATCCACCAATACGGCATCACTTAGTGGATAAACAAGGAGTGTATGTTACCTCTCCATTAGTAAGCAATGTATGTATACGGTATGATTTATTTCAAAATGTTCACTATACTTAATAGGTAAGACTGATTTGGAGGGTTTTTGTTTTTCAGTGGTGAGGACCTGTTGATGTTAAAACTTGGGTTCATAGTAGATCTTTTATAGTAGTTAGGAAGGGATAAAATTCAAATTTGCCTTCCATTTTTTAGGATATGTATATGATTCACTAACATGAAGGACTATGACTTCATTGTACTTAGTATTTACCTTTGAACCTTCAGATTACTGTCAGTAGTGAAGTGTGGAAATATTTCAGGTTCATTATTGACTAAATAAACTTTTAACCTCATTTATGGTATTGCTTCTATAGTAAGTTGTGGATTGCTAATATGTTCAATTGACATAATATCCTTTGCCTCTCATTTAATTACTGACTTGCAAAAGTGGATTTAAGGATAAGTTTTACAGTTAAATTATCCTAATGAGAAAATATAATCTTTTTTTAAAATGATTTTGATCACTGTGTATTACTGTTACTTTTAGTTTACAATGCATTCAGATCTTGGGAAAATTATTCAGAGTCTATTGGATGAGTTTTGGAAGAATCCTCCAGTTTTAGCTCCTGCTTCAACAGCATTCCCATAGTAAGTATGTTTGTAACAAAAGAGTTTGTGTACATATTTATTTACTTTTGATATAAGTAGTCAAAACATAGCTTAAAAATTCAAATAGGGTTAAAAGGCAGTCTGCTTTCCACATCCTTACCTTCACATGCAGATACATTCATACTTTTCAGAAGCAACTGGGTTTTCTTTTTTAGCTTCTTATCTAATATTTACCTTCATCTTTCTGAATAATATTATACGTACTGCTGTCTGTTGATTTTGATTTTAGATACTGTCTGTTGACTTCCTATCATGATTAATGAAGGTTTTAGTTATCTTTCATATAGCTTTCTTTTCCCTCATCCTCTGTGAAATTATGATTTTTACTTAAGTTTGTGTTTAGTACTTTCATTACATTGACTCTCAGAATATTCCCTCCTGCTGAGCCAAGTAGTTTATAATGATTACATTTCCTTTATGGTATAACTTTTTGCTTTTCTCTGGAGTTAATAATTACCTCAATTTCCCACTTCTTTCAGCAGCTCTGAAAAATATCATTCAAATAATTTTTTCACATCATGAAGCTTGTCACGTAATCTCGAGGTTCCAGTATCTTTTCCTTGCAGACATTGCTCCATTACTGCTGTCCACCTCCCATCCTGCGATTTCCCTTTCCCATGCTCCTGTATGGGATTCTCCTTTTCCTGCATCCTGTGTTTTTTTTCTTTCTCAGGCTGTTTCCTAGTTTCTTGCTTTACTTAATCCCTGTGGCTTTCTAAGTAAAGGTGTGTTCAAGTTACAAAGGATGAGTAACAGTTTATCCTAAAACTTGTGGTTGAAATAATGACAATATTTATTTTCCTTGTGAATCTGCAGTTTGGTTAGGTACTAATAGAGCTTGTTTGTGCTCCACCTTTGGCATCAACTTTAAACAGTAGACAAATTTATTTGCTCATTAATCTTCAATACAGGAAGGGTTCATCAGAGAGCTCTTCTCTGCTCTGCTTACCATCAGCAAGCTCTCATCAGAAGCTTTTACCTGGGGAGGTCAGTTGGAATACCTAGATGCAGCCTTGGCTTCCTCACATCACCATGGCTGGGCTTTTGGGGTGAATACCCTGCAACATTTATGAGAAAGTCATATTCATCTCCTCTGACCTAACTGCTGAAGTCACCCAGTGTCACTTCTGCTTCATTCAGTGTGTTGAGGCAGTCATGGAGTCCTGATCCAATTCGAGGGGAAGAAAATAGGCTTTTTGTTTTAATGGTGGAGTGGTGAGGTTCTAGAAGAGCAGGTGTGCGTGCTCAGTCACTCAGTCATGTCCAGCTGTTTGTGGCCCCATGGACTGTAGTCTGCCAGGCTTCTCTGTCCAAGGGATTCTCCAGGCAAGGAAACTGGAGTGGGTTGCCATTTCCTCCTCCAGGGAATATTCCGGACCCAGGGGTCGAAGCCGTGTCTCCTGCCCTTTCAGGCAGATTCTTTTATCACTGAGTCATCTGGGAACCCCCTAGGAGAGCACATGGGACCAGAAATAGTGCTGTGACCATTTTTGGAAAGTACAGTATGCCACAAGATGGCTGGGAGAATAATTTTGAGATTTCTTCTCTTTAACCTGCAAATATCTTTAATACACCTTCACACTTCATAGTTGGTAGAGTTGTTGAAGTGGTTTCCACTGGGAATTTTGAAAGCATTCCTCTATTCCTAAGGTGTCCAGTGCCATTTTGATTTCTAATCCTTTGTAACTTTTTGTGTTCAATATTCTGAAATTGCATAATGCTGTTATTTCTGACAGTCTTCATTTCCTCTTCCTGTAATATTTCTCGCCTTATCTGCTCAGTTCTTTTACTTAATTTGCAAGAACTTTTTCTTGTTCAAAAATCGGGTTGCATTTTTACACTGCCTGGAAATCATCTTGGGCTAGATTATCCCATTCGATAGGAATATCAGACTCAGCCGTCACTCTTTGCTCCTGTGTCTTTGTCCTCGAGTCAGAAGCCTCTCTGATATTCTTTATCTAAAAACAGAATTTACTGTTTTCTTCCAGGATGGGGCTAAATATATCTCATTCACCTTATTTGAAAACATAAGCCAACAAATTTATTTGTTCCCATATCAAATAAGTTCTGTGATTCAGTACACATTGTTTAAAAAGCAAGTTTGCTACATTTCTTAGATTACATTATAGGTTGTACCTATAATACAGTTTTGTTCAGAATTATTAAGACTTTATTTCAAGGATAGTAGAAATACTCTCATGTTGATCATATTCTTTCTAAATAATATTTTATATTTACATGTTATTAATATACTTTAGATAAAATTAAAGCTCTAAGAGTAAGATGAGCCATACTTTGAAATAAACAAACTTATTAGACAATTTTTAACTTATTTTTTTCAATCATATATTCACTTGGCTTAAAATTTTAAAAATATAAAGGGATGTGGGGTAAAAAGTTCCCTTCCATTTTTTTCTCTTTCAGTTCACTTTTTCTTCTCTTTGGTATCCAAAGTTGGTTATTTGAGTGTATATGTATAGAACTCCTGAGATATTTTATGTATATACAAAAAAATATGTACATGCAGTATTTTATTCCCTCCTTTTTTTTACACAAATGACAGCATACTATTCCCTTGCCCCCTTTTTTTTTTTTCCCATCTCACTAGTGGTATGGTTCAGAGAGCTTTCCATATTGGTACATAAACACTTCCTCATTCTTCTTCATGGCCACAAAGTACTTGTTTTATGGACACAACATAACTTAAGACTCCTATTAATGGAATTTTTATTGTTTCCAATCTTGCATAAAAGGCCAACCCTTCTTTGCCCTCAGTGATGCAATGAATAACATTAAAAACATTTTACCCAGCTTTAAGTATTTTGTTGGATACATTCTCAAAGTGGTAGACATATTTGTAAGTTTGACTAATACTGCAGAATTGCCCTAAGGAGTAAGTTGTACCAGTTTCTACTCCTGTACACAATACTTATTCCCTTTGCTGACGTGGTAATTTATCAAAAGGGATTTTTGCTAATTTTTAAGTGGAAAATGATGTGTTAATATAACTTTTTGGTTTTTTTTTCTCTTTTCTTGAACTTGTGTAGTCTATCTGATTCTGCATTTTGCTATTGGGTTGTTAGTCTTATTAGTGTGTAGAAGTTCTTTATGTATATGTTAGAAAAATTAACCATTTTCCTATGACATGAGTTTCAAATGTTTTCCCCCAGTTAATTTGTCTTTATTTATAATAGGCTTTGTCATATAGAGTTTTGTTGTTGTTTGTTTTTTTATGTCAGGGGATTAAGATTTTTTTTTTTTTTTTAAGAAAAATGTTTTCTATTTTAATTTGTTCCATTTGGCTTCTCTTTTATTATTATTATGAGGATCTGGCTTCAATTTAATTTTTTCCAGATGTCGCAGTGCTATTTATTGACCTCTTTTTTTTTTAACCTGATTTGAAATCTTGTTTTATTATATCCTAATTGCTGTATATGCTTGGGAGTTTTCTGGATTTTGTATTCAGTTCCATTGATCTTCCTATCCATTGCCAGTGTTTTCCTTTAAAAAAGAGTTTTTTAAAATTAAGGTGTTCTATTGGGTTTTGCTAAATGCCAGGGTTAAACTCTCTTTACCCTCTTTTTTTTCAGGTTCGTTTCTTTATATTCTTATTTATTTTTCTGTATAAACTTCAGTATTATAATTTCAAATTTTATGACAAATGTTTTCTTGCAGACAATTACCATTTTTGTTAACTTATGTCATTAAATATGACATTAAATTATGTTAAAAACAGTAGCACTCCCATTTAAAAAATTGTTTAAGCTAGATATATTTTGGAACATTTCAGTTTTTCCCAACACCACCAAGTAATTCTCCAGTTCTCAGCAAACACTGTGTTCCCTACAAATTGCACTCAGTTCTGATGCTGTCCACCTGGAGATGGGGTCATATCCACAGATGAAGGACTCAGTCTCACAGACTGCTCCATTTCACATACCAATGGAAAATCCATAGATGGTTCCTGTGCTTCTGACTAACTGGCTATAAATCAGAGGTTCCCATGGATTCCCTCCCCACCCCCATCTTGATTAATTTAAATGGCTCATGAAACTCCAAAAATAAATTTACATATGTTTAATGGTTAGTTATAAAGGATACAGATGAATAGCCAGATGAAGAAGTACCTACGGCAGGGCACTGTCTAGGAGAGCCCTGAGCACAGCAGCTTCTGTCCCCATAGACTATGGATGCATTCACCAGCAGGGCACTTGTCGAGTCTTCTTGTTCAAGAGATTTTGTAGCGCTTAATCAGCAGCCCCCCTCTTCCCTGAGATCGATGGTTGGGGCTAAAAGTTCCAACTTTCTGTCACTTGATCTTTTTGGTGAACAATCCCATCCTCAGACTATATAGGGATTAGCCTAGATGTTGTTAAGTTAGACGCCTACCCCCTTGGGTTGATGCTTTAAGAAATGGGCAGAGGGATAAAAGAAATCAAAGAGGACACAAACAGATGGAGAAACATACCGTGTTCATGGATTGGAAGAATCAATATTCTCAAAATGGCTATACTACCCAAAGCAATCTATAGATTCAATGCAATCCCTATCAAACTACCAACGGTATTTTTCACAGAACTAGAACAAATAATTTCACAATTTGTATGGAAATACAAAAAACCTC